AGTCAAGATGGCTATAATTAGAGCAGATTACTCCTACCACATTGTATTATGATGATCGCTTCATGACTTTTTGTTTCACACTATGTGATAAATTCATTAAGGGTAGCATTGTGCCATCCTCCATCAAGCGATTATATACTTCCTTTGTGCTTATGATGTTGACTATAGCAATGTTAAACTGTTAAAACTTGCTAATAAACAGTGAAGCTCCATCATTCCAATAGAGTCAGCATGCGAATTCACTGTAGTTCAAATCCACATTCTAGTTGAATCCCCACAATGTAACTTGACATTTGGAGAAATTGATTCATACGATTTTAAAGAAATATGATATAGGTGACAGAATCCAGGATGAAAGAGGTACCTTGTTACTTAGGTGATGACATTGTGGATGCATTTCACATCTCTCTTTCTCTCTTTTTAATGTAGCTCTTCTCCTTCCTTGGTTTTTACTCCTCCCTCCCTCTTTCTTCTTCAAGGCTCCTCTAATATTAACATCTTTGGCAGTTTGGCCAATGTTGACAACTACTTTTTGATTATTTGGTATTTTAAAATACTTGGTATTTTTAAAAACTTTTATTGGCCGGGTGCAGTGGCTCACGCCTGTAATCCCAGCACTTTGGGAGGCCTCGGTGGGCAGATCACGAGGTCAGGAGATCGAGACCATCCTGGCTAACACAGTGAAACCCCGTCTCTACTAAAAATACAAAAAATTAGTCAGGCGTGGTGGCAGGCGCCTGTAGTCCCAACTACTCGGGAGGCTGAAGCAGGAGAATGGCGTGACCCTGGGAGGTAGAGCTGGCAGTGAGCCAAGAACTCACCACTGCACTCTAGCCTGGGTGACAGAGTGAGACTCCGTCTCAAAAAAAAAATTATTTATTGTAAACAAAATCCCATGTAAAGCAAATGAATAAATGTGATGGTTAATGGAATATATGTGGAAATAAGAAGCTTCTCTTTTAAGTGAAAGAACTGATATCAAAAATTCCATCTAAAATTTATTAAAATTAAAATTACATTGATAAGATTATTCAGTGTTTTCTTTCTGGGCAGATTTGTATTTAGTTAGTTGTCTAGGGATTGTTTTGTTTTAGTGTCAGAAATATATTCTTACTAAGTATCAGACCCTTTATTAGGCAGTCATCATTTTAGGTCTTATGATGATGGGAAATCCCATGGGCTTAGGGAAAATTGGCTAAGTGTGGAAAAATTGCATAATAGAAAAAATTCCATTTACAAAGATGTGTGATTGTTTCTTTTCTTCTCCCTATGTCTAGATAGTTAGAGATGATTGTATTCTTGGATTGTTTTATTTTCAAAATTGAAAGTTTTTTTTTTTTAATGGGTGTCAGGCTGGGCACAGTGGCTCATGCCTGTAATCCCAGCACTTCAGGAGGCTGAGATGGGTAGATCACCTGAGGTTAGGAGTTTGAGACCAGCTTGACCAGCATGGTGAAACCCGGTGTCTACTAAAAATCTAAAATTAGACGGGCATGGTGTGGTGGTGCATGCCTATAATCCCAGCTACTTGGGAGGCTGAGGCAGGAGGATCGCCTGAACCCAGGAGGCAGAGGTTGCGGTGAGCTGAGATCACGCCATTGCACTCCATCTTGGACAACAAGAGCAAAAATCTGCTTCGAAAAAAAAAAGTGATTATCAAAGGATGCAGAGTGGGATGGGGGAATAAAGAAAGCACATACTACATAACAAAACATTGTAAATAAAAATAAGTCACAGTATCATATAAAAAAGAAAATGTATTTGCTATGATAACAAATTTAAATGACATTAGATACCAGAATTAGTTTTTGGTTCTTTTTTTTTTTTTTTTTCTTTTAAGCTCCAACAGAATATGTTTGTCAGTTCTTTTCATACCTTGCTGTAGATTGCAACCTCTATAAATGTGTTAAATAGTAGATTTCTAAGATGATTATTTACATATATATGGAGTGTGTGTGAGTGTATAAGTATAAAGTAAATATATATATTCTGGAATGTGTATGTATATATGCATATATATATTCAAATATTTTTAACAATATGAGCTTGAGTTTCTTTCAAGACTAAAGGCAAAATGTATTTTTTCATTGCCTTATTTTGTGCAAAAAGCCAAATAAAATTGTGGTGATCCATTTGCAAAAGCAAGAAAATAGAAGTATATACACATTTTATAATCAATCAGTGAGTATTTATATAGATACTGGTGATTATTGGAGCTTCTAGACTATAAAAAATGTTACTATGTTTCTTTTAAAGTTCAGGGTCTACATAGCCAGTGGATCAGATACCCAGAATGGGTAATCACTGGCATGGTGTTTCAGACTTTAGATCTAACAAGTAAAAATTTAAAACAAAATTTGGATATGATTAAAGGACAAAGAATCAAGGGAATGGAGTGCAGCCAATTCAGAAAATAAAGAACAGTTGGTTTACCCTAATTATAGTCATCTTGATTTTTCTTTTTTCTTCTGTATGTATCAATTGGAAGTTTGGTAAAAATTAAATCTTTAGCCCAATTATAGAAATAAATTCATTGCAGATTTCCTAAGGTGACTTTATACTTTTCTTAAACTCAAATCTTAGAAGTTGGTTGTAGTTTGTATTAGCCACAAGTCTTTCCTTTGATATAGTAAAACAGTTTACTTTTTATTTTTTAAAACTGAATATCTTATATCTACCATCATCTAAATTGATGACATGTTAACATAAATGACAAAATCATATTGATATCAAAGATTCAACTAATTAACAAAAGTTTTACACTTGGATTAGGTTGAGTTGTGCAAAAGTGGCTGAATCTAATAAAATGATACAACATTTGTGTATATTATCATGAATTTTGCAGATTGTTTATGGGCACAGGTCAAGCATTAAAATAAGGCCTATGTTATGACCCTCCCCCCTGCTTTTCATCAAAAAGCTTTTCGTAGATAATATGAGTTATGGAAATAGGTGATTTTTTTTATTTTTTATTTTTTTTAGTTTTTTAGGGAAGATGAATTTATTGACTTTATAGAATATCTTACTGCATTCTTCTTCTTACTACTTTTCCCACTTTTGATCATGAGTATCTCTATTCTATATTCATCTTATACAGGAAGTTATGTGTCTCCTTTGTAAATGTTTTAGAAAGAGTGTCGCCCAATGATTTTGTTGTCAGGTACATATTACATGATCTCCTTGGTAACAAACATGAGTTTTTGTTATTATTTGACAGTTATTAAACACAGATACATTAGTAAATATGGAGCAAAGAAACATAACTTTCAATGACAAAGTTCTGTTGATACATTGTATGGTTTTATATGTTGTAAATTGGATGACTTTCTCTATATTAATTTTCTGCTATATTTTTATTGAGTACTAACACACTTGCCTCCATTCACCTCCCAACACACACACACACTCACTCTCTGTCTCTCTCCCTCCCTCCCTCCCTCTCTCATATATACAGGCGCACATACACATGCATAATAGCTGAAGCTTCAAAATGAAAACATATGCAGAATGTACCTATTGATTTCTGGTCATTCTGAGCAAAAGGGGATATAAAGAAATACGGTTTGTTTAAAACTGAGAAGTTATTTAGTATTTTGTGTTTTAATTGCTTCTTACCTATCTAGCACTAGTAGTTTTATGCCAATTGATATAATATTGAAAATTCAAAAAATGTTAGCAAGGATTACAGGTGATTGATAGTACTATTTTGTAGTATGAAGCCTGGTTTAAATCTTGCCAGAATCTCCGGAACTTAATATGGAAATTAGAATAGAGGTGACACCTGTATCTCTGTTCTAAACCATTTTGTCATACTACCACAGTTTTTTCCTTCTAAAACATACTTCATCAAGTCTTCAGAATTCTGGATCTGTTAATCCATTTGACTCTCGATTTATTTCTTTTCTCTTTAATTTTTTGTTTTTGAGACATTGTCTCACTCTATTACCCATGCTGGAGTGGAGGGACGTGATCATGTCTCATTGCAACCTCTGCCTCCCAGCTCAAGAGATCATGTCAGCCTCCCTGATAACTGGGGCTATAGGCATGTGCTCCCACACCCCGCCAATTTTTTGTAGAGATGAGGTCTTGCCATGTTGCCCAGGCTGGTCTCAAACTCTGGGCTCTAGCCATTTGGCCACCTCAGCCTCCCAAAGTGGTAGGATTACAAGGGTGAGCCACCATGCCTGGCCTGACTCTCCATTTCTTATAGCAGTACCTCTTAATGAGGAAAGCACATTAGAATTGCCCAGGGGGCTTCTAAAATATGCACATATCTAGAACCCATCCTCAGAAAATCTGATATTTCGGTAGGAGTGGCAAGTATGTTTAACAAAAACTGCACATTGATTCAGATGCCTCTTTATGTCATATCCCAACCAAAGTTTCTTACTCTGTCTCATGTTATTTTCTCCAGTTACCCTCTGCTCTGCTTTAACCATGCCAAAAATGATATAATACAAATACATTTTCATTTTATACTTACGTATTAAACTTTTGTACATGCTGTTTCTACCGCCTGAAATACCTTTTACTTCCCTCTCCATTCTCCCTTTCTCTCCACTCCAGGTCTTTTATCTGTCAAACAATAAGTTTTCTTCCTAGATTCTCCTCTGATGGCAAATCTTTCCTTACTCCCCCAGGTAGAAATAGTCACTCTCTCTTTTATGTTTACCATTTATATTTGATTATTATTTTTTTAAGTGTCAATCTCTTCCATTAATCTGTGAGCTCAGTGAAATTATGTAATTTATCTTATTTGTGTTTATGTTAAATGAATACATGGATGACTAATAAATTGACAGCTTTGTTAGGAATTAAAATTTTCAATGTTTTCATAAACATTGTTTTTAAGGGCAGCATTCAGTTGAGGTTTTCATGATCAACCATCAAGACGTACGTTGATACATGCATAACATTTGTCTTAATATATATTCCTGTAAAAATTTGTATGCATATAGGTATCTATTTCTTATCTTCATTTTTTTCCCTTGTGCCTACAGACGAAATCTCACAAAACTGTCCCTTATCTTCAGTCACATGCTGGCAGAAATCAAAGCAATCTTTCCCAATGGTCAGTTCCAGGGAGATAACTTTCGTATCACAAAAGCAGATGCTGCTGAATTCTGGAGAAAGTTTTTTGGAGACAAGTAAGTAAAAATCATTTTTATAGCTGCGGATCTATCTTACAAGGGTTACTGTATCCTCCCTCCAGTTGGATATGGTATATATTTTACTTGAGTATTTTGTGAATGTATTTTATTATTTTTGATAAGCATTTTGATTGATTGGTAATTTTTGTAGCCACCAAAGGTATTCCTCAATAATACAGTAGTTTTTAAATGACTAAGTAAATATACAATGTTATTTATTACATGAGCATTCATTGAGTTTGTTCTGAGAAGCAGAAGTATGTAAGAGTCTTTATACATGAGAAGCTGATAACTTCTTATAATTTAATATATGCTTAATACACAAAATAAAAGGTAGAAGGGAATAGATACTTTAAAAAATGGTGTAAGTAAATTGCTCTGACAATTTAGAGGGGAATAGTTGCTTTGGGATCAGTGATCAGGGACTGCTTCCTGGAGGAGGTGGTATGTTAAGCTTGGTTAAGATCTGAAATCGAGGTGAGAGAAGGCCCTGGCACCCTGTTCTAGCCTTTCTTTGTTTTACTGCATAGAGATTATATATATGTGAATAAGATATGAGGATAACATTATCACAAAGCTGTAGCCTGTTGCAAAGTAGCTAAAGATGTTTTCTGTTAGGTATGCCCTACAGAGACAGATTCTGGTGAGTTTGGCAAATAATGGAATTGAATGTCTGAAGTCAGCATAATTTATATACAAGTTGCAAAACTTTTGTCATCAGTTTCTCAGTAAAATGATCAAGAATGAGCATCAGGAGGCAAGTGGTTTCCCCAGTAACTTTTTAAGAATTACCTTTAATGAGAGCACATCCTCAGAATGTCTTAGAATGTAGGCAAAGCCCTGGCTGAGTAGTAAGGAGGAAGTGTGATTGCTTACATAGATTATTGTTTTAATCTTGTATCAAAGGTCTGTATTTGTCCTTTAACTGATGAAATTAGACATAAAAATTGTTAATAAACACTTTTTTTTTATAGTACTTTGATATGGGAACTACAATATTGGTTTTCCTTTGTTTTTGTTTTTGTTTTTTTTCTTACAAAGTATTGTGTTTACTATAGTCATCATCAAGATTGGAATATACCTACATAGAGTAATGTACATTTAATTAAGCACATACTTTTTTTGGCATCCAAAATATTAAAGCCTATTTCCCACATTATACTAAAATGTATTCAGAGTTACTTTTAGGCACTAAAGGATAAAATACCATTGTTGCAATTAACATGGAAATTCTGTGTTGTAGCAATCTAGTTATTGATATTGTTCCTATATTCATTCAGAAATGAAGAATTTTAGAAAAAAGTTTATCCTTATCTGAATTAGAATAATACAGACAGCTAAGACTATACTAATTAAATATTAATTGTAGAAAGTAGAACAGTCCTGCCAGGTTCGGGATGTAGGAACTGAGAGGGTTTCCTGTAGTTGCAGTTCATGTATTAACATTGTAAGCTTAGTTCAAACAGTCGGTAACCTTCAAAATAAACTTTCTCTTTTAAAGTGTTAAGAAAATATATAGGACAAATTGATTGTGGTATTTCTTTTTGAAAACTGAAACTTCTGGTGAGTTATAAAATTGTTTACTTGTCATAAGGTCAATAAAAAATGGAAAGATTGCTCATGGGTTTTATTAAGAGAGGAGTTTGCTGGCACTTCAAGCCACAGAAAATTATGCATTTGAGACAACTTTATTTCCCTTTATTTATAACCACAGACATCAAGGGGCTGAAATTTCTCTTCAACTGCTACATGAGTGAAATCACTACTACATCAAATGAGGGATTCTTGAAATAGTGATTAGTTACTTTCCCTACCTCGCAAGTCTTTTCATCTTTGTTCACTGTTTTTACTGAATTGAGAAAGCTGCTTAATTTTTTTAACACTTTTAATTTGTGGATAACTGACAAATTTCGTGCTCCTTTTGGAACATATATGCATTACCATAGTCATCCAAATTAGCGATTCCTTTATTAGATAATTGGAGAAAGTATTTTTTTATTCTTCCTAGGTTTTTACTTTGTGGTTCCATAATATTTTATTGAATGAATGGACATATGCATGAATAATGTGCATCCTTTCAAAAGGTTGATTTTTTTTTTCATTATGCTCTAGTATTGTTTATATTTTCCCAAAACTTAGTTCTCCTGTGGGAGCTTGCCTGTCATTTATCTCACTGTTCATTGAGGCCGTGTGAGATTCATGGAGGCCATGTGAGAATGCTTTCATTTAGCCTAACCCGTGCCTTTAAACTTGAAAGCAGCATTCTCACGTAAAACAGAACCATTAATCCATTCATGAGGGCAGCACCCTCATGATTAAACCATCTCTTAAAGGTTCTCCTTCTTAATTCAGTCACAAAGGCAATTAAATTTTAACCTGAGTTTTGGAAGTGGCATTCAAACTATAGCATTGTTGTTTCTGAAGACATCGTTGTGCTACCTTCTCTGTTAGGGGCCCAAGCCCAGCAGCCAAGAGGCACTGCCTGCCTTGTGGCCCAAGGGGAACAGTAACACAACATGTATCATGGCAAATTTGTTGGGAAATTCTGTTTATGGTCAGTTTTTATGCAAATGAATATAATATTTTAACAACACAGTTATGCTTTTCCTTTCATAGTCTGTTGACCAAGAGATAGAAATCTGTAGGAAAAGAAAAGTGACATTATTGAATAAATGTGTCTAAGTACGTTCAGCAAAATGAGACCAATACTAAACTGAATCTTCACACTCTGGAATAATAGCTGATAATCTAGAAACTTTAAGCATGAAGCTTGAAAAATATATTACTGCCTGTTAAAAAAAGAAGCACATTAATGTGATTAGACTCTGGGTAGCAGTCATTTTTCTCAGCAAGTCAGGTAGCAGCTCATGAGCTACTTATTTAAGTACTTTTTGACATTGAGAAAAGTGATTGATTAAAGTGATGATTTATAAGATTTTAGTGCACCGGTCACCTGAGCAGTGCACACTACCTAGTATGTAGTCTTTTATCCTTTACCCCTCTCTCACCCTTCCCCACCACGACCCCAAAGTCCATGATATCATTCTTATGCCTTTGTGTGCTCATAACTTAGCTCCTACTTGTAAGTGAGAACATTCGATATTTGTTTTTCCATTTCTGAGTTACTTCACTTAGAATAGTGGTTTCTAGCTCCATCCAAGTTGCTGCAAAAGTCATTATTTCATTCCTTTTTATGGCTGAGTAATAGTCTATGGTGTAAATATACCATATTTTCTTTATCCACCTGTTGGTCTGTGTGAACTTAGGTTGGTTCCATATCATTGCAATTGCAAATTGTGCTGCTATAAACAAGCATGTGCATGTGTCTTTTTCATATAATGACTTCTTTTCCTTTGACCAGATATCTGGCAGTGGATTGCTGGATTGAATGGCAGTTCTGCTTTTGGTTCTTTAAAGAGTCTCCATACTGTTTTCCATAGTGGTTGTTACTAATTCACACTCCCACCAGCAATGTAAAAGTGTTCCCTTTTCACAACATCCACGTCAACATCCATTGTTTTTAAAGATGTTTAACAACATCTATTGTTTTTAATTATGGTCATTCTTGCAGGAGTAAGGTGGTTTCTCACTGTGGTTTTCATTTGCATTTTCCCGATGATCAGTGATATGTTGAGCATTTTTTCATATGTTTGTTGGCTGTTTGTGTATGTCTTTTGAGAAATGTGTGCTCATGTCCTTTGCCCACTTTTTGATGGGATTGTTTTCTTCTTGCTGATTTGCTTGAGGTCCTTGTAGATTCTAGATTCTAGTCCATTGTCAGATGCGTAGTTTGCAAGTATGTTCTCCCACTGTGTGAGTTGTCTGTTTACTCTCCTGATTATTTCTTTTACTGTGCAAAAGCTTTTTAGTTTAATTAGATCTCATTTATTTATTTGTATTTTTATGCATTTGCCATGAATTCTCTGCCTAAGCTAATGTCCAGAAGAGTTTCTTTGATGTTATTTTGTAGGATTTTCATGGTTTCAGGTCTTAGATGTAAGTCTTTGATCCATCTTGAGTTGATTTTTTAATAAGGTGAGAGATGGGGATCCAGTTTCATTCTTCTACATGTGGCTTGCCAGTTTTTCCAGCACAATTTATTGAATAGGGTATCCTTTTCCAAATTTATGTTTTTGTATGCTTTGTCGAAGATCAGTTAGCTGTAAGTATTTGGCTTTACTTCTGGGTTCTCTATTCTGTTCCATTGGTCTATGTGCCTCTCATTATACCAGTACCATGCTGCTTTGGTAACTATAGCCTTGTGTTGTAATTTGAGATCAGATAGTGTGATGCCACCAGATTTGTTCTTTGCTTAGTATTGCTTTGGTGATATGGTCTCTTTTTGGTTCCATACGAACCTTAAGATTGTTTTTTCTAGTTCTGTGAAGAATGTTGATGGTATTTTGATGGGAATTGTAATGAGTCTGTAGATTGCTTTGAGCAGTGTGGTCATTTTATTCTTCCCATCCATGAGCAGGGGGGGTGTTTACATTGGTTGTATCATCTATAATTTCTGTATTTCAGTGTTTTGTAGTTTTCCTTTGAGAGATCTTTCACCTCCTTCTTTAAATATATTCCTAAGTATTTTTTTTTTTTTTTCAGCTATTGTAAAGAGGATGGAGTTCTTGGTTTCCCAGCTTGGTTATGTTGGTGTATAGAGTGCTACTGATTTGTGTACATTGATTTTGTGTCCTGAGACTTTACTGAATTTATTTATAAGATCTGGGAGCTTTTTGGATGAATCTTTAGGCTTTTCTAGGTATATGATCACATAATCAGTGAACAATGACAGTTTGACTTCCTGTTTTACAATTTGTATGCTGCTTCTTTCTTTTTTTTTTAATCAGATTGCTCTGGCTATGACTTCCAGTACTGTGTTGAGTAGAAGTGGTGAAGGTGGGGATCTTTGTCTGATTCCAGTTCTCAGAGGGAATACTTTCAACTTTTTGCCTTTCAGTGTGATGTTAGCTATAGGTTTGCCATATATGGCTTTTATT